AAACAAAACAAAACAAAACAAACAAACAAACACAGGAATGAACATAAATCACTTCCTGAAAATGAACACATAATGAATTTCTTTTCCGTAACACCATCCCTCTTGCTAACCTGAACATACAAAATAATTGTCAGGAAATATCATAACCGATATTCGTTTTAGAAATAAAAACAGCAGTATTGAACATTTGTGATTGATGAACGTTTAGTTATATCTGACAGTATTTTGAATGGTTATTCCCGATTGCCGCRAAGTATTATGGGAATTTAAGTAGAGAATCGGATTTTCCTTTTCATGAAAGCCAATACGCGTTAAGATTCCTGCGTATACACAAATTAAATAGTAAAAGTTATAAACTTATTTGGTAAAAAATGATTTTAAGATGAAAACCCGGCTGTAGATAACATAAAAATAAATTTAAGCATAAAATATAATCAATATAACAACTCTTATGTCATTCAATAAGTTTGCCACGGATTTCTTTTGCCGGTTTAAAATCGAAAACCAAATTATAATCATCGACAAATGAAAACTTTTTACGACCATTATTTCAATGACTGTTGGTGAGTTCCAAAGAAAACTTATCTGYTCTTATCTCTCAGTCATACAAGATCACCATGGCGTGTTGATGTTTACAGTTTAGTACAGTATCTTTTGATAAGTCGTAAACTAAAATGACCACCAAATGCTGATAAAAGGTTTGTTGAAGCTAAAMGTCATTAACATTATAAATATATTGCGTCGGAAGTGTCTAAATGTCTGTGAATTTGAATATTTCGACTTCATTTTGTCTAAAATGGCGTTTTTTGACCTTCTTACCTTTCTAAAGATGTCACTAACAGCTCGACTTACTCGTTTWGGTTTTGACCTTTTTAAGTCATGATCTCCTGAAACAAATGAAGGAATCCATATATGTAACATGAATAAGATTAAAGATGACCAGAGAATGGTTCTGTGGTCCATTATTGCCGTTTTTGGGCCAAAGGAACGATATCTTCCGTAGCAGTTAATATTCAAAAAAAAATTATTACAAATGATTTTGTTTATGCRTCACTGGGTTATTATTTCATAACTTATTCATAATTGATTGACTTTTATCTTTTTTTGCAATAACAACTTGCATTTCATCTATATAGTTAAACAATGGCTCGACAAATATTCCTAGACTTAAGATAGAGGGGAAAAAACATACCTTAATGTATGTGACTAAGTTTTATTTCTTATATCCATCACATTTGACCTATTTTAGTCCAAAAGCAACACAATCTTGTTGGCAGGTACCTGCAGTAGACAACACAGGATTACAAGCGATTTGACGAAGAATCGCTTTAAACTCACTAATGACAGGATCGAAAAGACAAAGAAAAATTAACCCAAGCGTTTGTTCGTTATTTTRGATGGCAAAAATGTGTGAGATTAAAAAAGTAATTATAAACGATCTTTGAATGTCGTTTTTGAAATTGGTTGATAACACACTATGTTACATTTAGATGTTCCTTGTTAAGCCGATCAATATTTACTTATAAGAAGCTAACTTTTGAAAGGGACCAACCAACCAACCA